AGGTTAAAACATTACTATGTACAATTTTGTATGCAGTACCTAAGTCTAACCACAAGCGACGCGATTCGAAGTGATCCAAACCAAGAATTTCGAGCCTAGTAGCCTAATATTGTGCTGATTTTGATCCATAAGCAAACCTTTAGCTGAACTGAAGTATATGATTCAGCCCAAAAGGGACAGCGGTGGCTCAGTGGCTAAGACGCTGAGCTTCTCGATCAGAAAGGTGGGTAGCTCGGTGGTTCGAATCCCTAGCTCCGCATAACAGAGTGAGCTCCTGTTACTTGTCCCAACTTCTGCCAGCCTCATAGTTCGCAAGAATCTAAAAATGCAAGTAGAAAAAATAGAAATCACCTTTTGGTGGGAAGGTAACAGTGTTCTGTGCACCTTTGGCATTGAGTCATGCCGGCCACATGACCACGGAGACTTCTTTCGATAGCGCCGGCTCTTCGGCTTTGAAATGGAAATGAGCAATACCCCCTAGAGTCGGGAATGACTAGCACATATGTGCGAGGGAAATCTTTACCTTTATATGATTCAGCCGTAACTTGGTATAGAAGAACAGGAGTCATGTGATGTCTCCTATTCTTTTTATTGTCTAATGGGGAAGAATTGGGAAAACTACAGTTAGAGAGAGCCAGTTGGGTGTACTGGTTAAAGTTGCTGGACTAAGAGCAGAGAGTCCTGTGTTTTAGTTCTCCAAGGTTCCACAAAACCCATCTGGGTAATTTTAGGGCAGACATTTTAGCATTGCGGCTATGTATCATTTGTGCCATTGGTCATTACAAAAGGGAGGAGAATATCGGTGCACGCTGATCTCAATCTATAAGCAAACTTTTAACTAAATTTCATTGAAACAGTATATGATTCAGTCACAACTTGGTGTAGAAGAACTTGTTCTCTGGAGGAGAATTGAGAAGGCTACAGAAAACTCTTAACTGTAGTTTTCCCAATTCTTCCCCATTGGATAACAAAAAGAAGAGAGTCAGCTTGGTGGTGTGATTAAAGCTGCTGGACTAAGATAGCGCTAGCACTAGCACTTAGACTTATATACCGCTTCACAGTGCTTATCAGCCCTCTCTAAGTGGTTTACAGAGTCAGCTTATTGCCCCCAACAATCCGGGTCGTCATTTTACTCACCTCTTTTCCCTGTTTTCCAAACCCGGAGGTCCCATTTCTCAGCCTAGTCCCCAAGATGGTTGACCTTCAGGTTGGATTGACAGTAGAAATGGTTTTCTAAGACTTCTTGGGAGGTTTCAATGTTATTCCATTTTGTGGACCATTTACAATTTGGTTTCTCCATCAAACTGGTCAGAAATCCAGAAGGGCTGTATCCACAAATCCAGAAAATAAAAGGCTGAACTCAACCTTGAGTTGGTGAGAACCGAACTGCTCGTACTAGGCAGAATTAGCCTGCAATATTGCATTCTAACCACTGTGCCAGCACGGGCTCTTTTTAGCCCCAAGTTCTAGTTCTCCATTAGACACAAAAAACCAGCTGGGTAATTTTAGGGCGGTCACATACTCTTAGCTCTAATCTGGGATATCAGAAAACATCCTGGAAGATGCTAATGGTCAACTTACCGTACTTCTGAAATATTGCTGGGGCCCAGAATGGACTTGAAGGACCATAACAGAGAAAGCTAAAACAAGGCTGCCAGCTTAGCATTCCCATCTCTTGGCTGTCTGCTGCTTGAGATTTTTGTATGCATTTTTTAAATAAAATTACATTCATTGTGCCTCACCCATGTTTTATTGAATAAGGCACAGCTGGTTGGTTTTAAGCCGTCCTGCCCAAGATCTTAAAATCTGCAAAGCTTAAACAGAACAAAGCAATCAATGGCTCCAGGTTTGTAACCACACTTTCATTTTATGCCATATAGAGTGGGTCATGTTCTCCCTGTGATATAAAGGTAAAGGTTCCCCTCACACATATGTGCTAGTCGTTCCTGACTCTACGGGGCGGTGCTCATCTCTGTTTCAAAACCGAAGACCAGCACATGTGGTCATGTGGCTGGCGTGACTAAATGCCGAAGGTACACAGAATGCTGTTATCTTCCCACCAAGGTGGTCCCTATTTTTTCCACTTGCATTTTTACATGCTTTCAAATTGCTAGGTTGGCAGAAGCTGGGGCAAGTAACAGGAGCTCACTCTGTTAGGCAATGCTAGGGATTCGAACCACCTAACTGCTAACCTTTCAGATCGACAAGCTCAGCGTCTTAGCCACTGAGCCATGGTGTCCCTCCCCCATGATATAGGGATGGGTTATTCCAACTGGACATCTTGCCGGATTAAATATTTGACATTGGTCTAAAACTATTATTTAACTAGGTCTGATGGTTTGCAGATAGTTCTGATGATGCTTCAATGGTCCAATCCAACACAGCTTCATATGGGACCCTTAGTATTTATGATGCAAAGAAAGTACTGTATATTGGAATACAATCCACATAACCATATATATATATATATATATATGTATTGTGTCACAACCCCTGGTATGCCCAAATACGTCACAAGAGACCATCACGACAGAAAGCTATTATTTTTACTGTTGCCTTTGTTACATTTGTGTTGCATTTGTGCTGATAAATAAATAAAGGGAGACTAGTATAGATCTATTTCAAGCTATTTAGCTCTCATCAGCTAGCCATACCCTGGGTTCAATTCCCAGTAAGGGTATGGCTAGCTGATGAGAGGTAAATAGCTTGAAATAGATCTATACTAGTCTCCCTTTATTTATTTATCAGCACAAATGCAACACACACACACACACACACACACACACACACACACACACACACACACACACACACACACACACACACACACATATATATATTCCTGGATCAAAATCTGAAATAACTAGGGTGGGATTTTATATGACTATATCACATTCAGAATGGTTTACTCCAGTGGTGGGATTCAATTTTTTTACTACCGGTTCTTTGGGTGTGGCTTGGTGGGTTTGGCTTGGTGGGCATGGCAGGGGAAGGCTACTGCAAAATCCCCATTTCCTCCCGATCAGCTGGGACATGGGAGGCAGAGACTAGATGGGGGCAGGGCCAGTCAGAAGTGGTATTTGCCGGTTCTCTGAACTACTCAAGATTTCCCCTACCAGTTCTCCAAAAACTGGTCAGAACCTGCTGAATACCACCTCTGGTTTACTCTATGTAGATGAGATGTTTAATTGTGACTGGTGTGCTGGTGTTACAAATGGGTTGGATAATCCTAGACTGGAGCATGGAGTTATTTGAAAACATCTACTGAAAGATATTTTCCCTATCTTGAACGCATGCATCATTCGTTGCCTTGTGATGGATAACAATTGGAAGGGATTTAATTCTTCTTTCTTCCTGGCCTTAAATTTTAGCTGCACTTTATGCCTTTGTCTTGCAAAATCTCTGTAACGCAATACTGATTAAGCATTGGGTGGATTCAGATTGGAATTTCAGCCTTGCCCATTGAATTTCCTTGTTCTCAATATTCTTGTAGCTGAAAGAGTTTACGTGAGCCTGGATTGACCTTTCCATTGGAAAAGCTTCAGCCAAGCATTTCCACTTGCGTAAATAAATGTGCGTATCTCCGATCACATGGTGGAGGTTCTCAGAGAATTGTGTAACCTGAATTCATACCTCTGTCCTAATATAGAAAGTAAAATATTAAATAGCAAAAGCTGTGGTGGCGCAGTGGTTAGCATGCAGTACTGCATGCTACTTTTGCTGACTGCCAGCTGCCAGCAGTTCGATCCTTACTGGCTCAAGGTTGACTCAGCCTTCCATCCTTCCCAGTTCATTAAAATCAGGAGCCAGATGATTGGGGGCAAGAGGCTGACTCTGTAAACTACTTAGAGAGGGCTGTAAAGCACTGTGAAGCGGTATATAAGTCTAAGTGCTATTGTTATTGCTCTACTAGACCCTGGTATACGTAGCAATAAAAGGGTGCTCCTTTTAATTATTATTTGAGAAAGTCGAGTATCACATCAGTGTTTATTGGGCTTGGGGGTTGAATCTATGGGGCTGGAATTCAATCTAATAGTCTAATCAAGAAAAGAAGCAATCTAGAACTAAGAAGAAATTTCTTGTTAGTTAAAACAATTAATCAGTGGAATGACTTGCTTCCAGAAGTTGTGAATGCTCCAACACTGGAAGTTTTAAAGATAAGATTGGACAACTATTTGTCTGAAATGGTATAGGGTTTCCTGCCTAAGCAGTGGGTTGGACTGGAAGACCTCCAAGATCCCTTCCAACCTCTCCTCTCCCCTCCATTCTCTTATCTTCTGCTCTACTCTACTCTATTCTCTATTCTCCCTTCTCTCTTCTATTCTTTCTTTTTTCTTCTCTTCTCCTCTTTCCTCTCTTCTCTTCCATTCCATTCCATTCTAGCAAAATGGGCACCATTGCCAGATTCTAAGCATTTTAAAACCATAGTTTGAACAGATTGTAGCAGCTAAGGTAAGATCTAACCCTGAGCCTCACTTTGGTTTGCAGAAAGCTCTAAGCCCAAGGTAGCATTGTGGCTTTACAAGTAGCCCCTGACTTATGACCTCAATTAGGAGAAGAATTTATGCTTCCAAGCAAGGCCATCGTTAAGTGAGTTCTGCCTGATTTCACAACCTTGTCGCTACAGTTGTTCAGCAAATCCTATGGCTGCTAAGCAAATCCAACTTCCCCTGTTTGCTTGTTGAAAGCCAACTGATAGAGTTGCAAATGGCGATTGTATTCTTTCTAACCAACATTCTCCTTGTTGCCCAGACTTTCTTTTAAACAAGTATTTGTGAATGTTGCTTTGTTGTACCATTGACACCAGAAGCCATTACTCTGTTTCCCAAAGAAAGAATAGAAATCTGATCATTCTTGTCATCATTGACTGTTGAGCATACTTGACTTTTCCTCTTATATGTTCAGGGTTTCTCCCTCCAGGGAAAATTGTACCCGATTTGTATTCCCGTGGTATTAATCACCTGATGTTTTCCTCTCTCCTTTCTTACCTTTACCTGTAGCCCGATATCGATAAAGCGGTTGAAGCAGCAAAAACAGCTTTCCAAAGTGGATCTGTCTGGAGACAAATGGATGCGGCCAGTCGCGGAAGACTTCTAAATAAATTGGCCGACCTGATTGAGCGAGACAGAGAGGTGTTGGCAGTAAGTGAAGCTGGTGCATCACCAGGGTGTGAAGAATCAACCAAGAAGGGTTGGGGTATCACATTTAACCTTGAGCTTCTTGCTCTATTTTTGACCTATTAATCCATGGTGCCCGTAATGGTTTTCTCTTACCTTCGCTACCGGTTTGGAACTGGGAGCGTGCATGTGCGTGCACTCGCTTCACTCGTGCGTGGCGCTCCTGCACATGTGCAGAGTGTCTGTGATGACGTCTAGATGGGTGGGTGGAGCCTCCTACTGCCCAAACCAAGGCGAACTGGCAGAATATCACCTCTGCATGGTGCTATTTACGTAGAAGAAAACCATTATTGAAAAGAGGCTGGAAGATTACACTTCTTTGTTCCATTGGCAAAATTTAGTAATAATCAGGGTGGGGAATTNCACACACACACACACACACACACACACACACACACACACACACACAAATTATAGTTAGAAAGGATTGTATTTCTCAAAGTGTCAGGCATTATTTCCATTTTTTTAATTCAGTTTTTAAAATTAAGACCTTTATTGTTTTAAAGTTTTATTCTGCATTTCATCCAATGTCTCTAAACCACATAGTGATGCCTCTGGCAAGATGGATGACATGCAGGTCTGATAAATAAATTCAATATGAACTCACTGTAGGCCAAAGAGGGAGATCTAAGAGTATTTTCTTATCCTAGTCTGGGAAGGAAGACAAGCAAAATTAATTGTACTGCACTAAAAAGAAAAACTTCATTTGGGTTAAACAAAAGGCAGCCTTAGATAACCTTTTCCTTGTCAGTTTTGGCCAGCATGGATAATGGCAAGAGATGTTCACAAGTGGATCAAAAATGGCCTTTTGTGAATAATGACTTTCTTCTGTGCATTATATGATCATTACTGCCCCACGGCATGATCTGGGTCGGGTCCCTGGTTGCCATAGTGCAGTGTTGGCGAACCTTTGGGGCACAGAGTGCTGAAATAGGAGCACACGTGGGTGGGGGAATACCGGAAACTGAAATAGCATCTCCCTGGTGCGCAAGCATGGGAGCACCAGAAACCAGAAGAGCAGTTCCCTGGTGCGCATGTGCACACCGGGAAGCTGAGCTTCCGGTTCCCGTCATGCACATGCACGCCAGTCACCTGGTCTTCCAGTTTCTGATGTACATGCATGCTCAAAGACCAGAAACCGGAAGCTCTTCTGGTTTCTGGTGTTCCCACGTGCATAAAGGCCACGTGGAAGAACAATGTGCGATAGCTGGCATGCCTGGAGAGACAGCTCTGCAGGCCACTTCTGGCATGCATACCATAGATTCGCCATCACGACCATAGTGCCTTAGGAGTTACAAGGATGCCTTCCAACATTTTCAAGTATTAATTCTAGCTGTATGAATTTGGCCAAGAAGAAGATTTAAGGCTTGCACAAACCGCAAAGCCCAATACAGTATTGATATTCTATTGTGGGTGGCTGAAGTTTCTGTAAAGTTTTGAAAGGCAGCTGTGTGCATGTCAGGAATTCAATATACATTACAAGCACCTGTCATGAAATTTAAATAGCTATAATTAACTGTAATCCCCGATGAAGGAAGCATTGCTTATTTATTCCTGTAATGTTGTAGAGAAGCTCGTTTATGAAATCATTAAAAAAAAGGCTGGTTTTAAAGCAAAGTCACCACCAAGTCAAGTTTAGGTTTCTGGTAACCTCAGTGATATTGTTTTCTTAGTGACAATATGGAAGTAGTTTCCACAACATTTCCCCGGGAATTGACTTCCCAGTCAACAGCCCTGATGCTGGGAAGGCTGAATTTTAAAAAATTTAAAACCAGATGGTAAAATTATGAAAACACAATGGTGATGCCTTCTGAAGAGCAACTGGCAAGAAGTCTGTTATTTTATAAATCAGTAGGGCAGAGGGAAAGAATATTGAAATCCCGGGGCTTTGTGAATAGTAAGCTTGATTCCTTGATTCTGCATTAGTGATCTTGATTTGTCATTAGGAATTCTTCCTCTTCTTGTCTCTCCAAAACTATAGCGGGCTGAGTCTGTTCTTACGGTGAATAATGATGAGTTTCTAGAGAGGGAGATTTATTGCTGTGTCTTGGTGATGGTCTGAACACTCTTATCCTTGTACTAATCAGTTCCCAGTCTATTTTAATGTTAACACTCTTTTTAACTTCTTTAAGGTTAAGGCCCGTAAGCAGTGGTGGGCTTCAACCGGTTCACACAGATTCGGTAGAACTGGTAGCTAACTTTCTGTACAGTTTGGCTGAATAGTGTGCCTCCCCATGCCTGGCCCCTCTTTACCCTTCCCCTCTCAGCCACTCGTGGCCTCACTGCCCGGCTGCTCACCTGGCCACCTAGCCTCTCACTGGCTGGGCGGCAGGGCCAGTAGCTGGGCGTGACAAGGAGTGACTGGGGGAGGAGGGGTGAAGCATGGCCGGGCATGGCACGGACAAGCTAGGCAAGGTGAGGTGCCCCCTCGACGTGAGTGATCTCAAGTTGGTCAATCCCACCCAGTCACATGACCACCCTGACACGCCTATCCAGCTGGTCATTAGGGGAGAAAACCAGTTGTTAAATTATTTAAAAAGAGCCGAGGTGGCGCAGTGGTTAGGGTGCAGTACTGCAGGCCACTTCAGCTGACTGTTATCTGCAGTTCAGCGGCTCTAATCTCACAGGCTCAAGGTTGACTCAGCCTTCCATCCTTCCGAGGTGGGTGAAATGAGGACCCAGACTGTGGGGGCGATATGCTGACTCTGTAAACCGCTCAGAGAGGACTGAAAGCCCTGTGAAGCGGTATATAAGTTTAACTGCTATTGCTATTGCTATTTGATTTCCACCACAACCCAAAAGGAAAGTTGCTGGATATCAAATTGTAGCAGCTGAGGGACAAGGGAAGATCAAAGATTTGGCTCTCTTTATCAGGGAGTTGTCTTTATCAAGAAGCGTAAAACATTCAGATAGCAATAGCACTTAGAGTTTATATACCGCTTCACAGTGCTTTACAGCCCTTTCTACACAGTTTATAGAGCCAGCATATTGCCCCCAACAATTTGGGTCTTCATTTGACCCACCTTGGAAGGATGGAAGGCTGAGTCAACCTTGAGCCTGGTGAGATTTGAACTGCCAAATTGCAATCAGTCGGCACTCTGTAAAAGTAGCCTGTAGTACTGTACTCTAACCACTGCATCCCTATGGCTCATAAGCAAAAAGGCAATTGCAAAAGGCAACTTGACTTTGTTTTTCCTTGAAGATGTGTCGCTTCTCATCCAAGAAGCTTATTGGGTTCAGTCAGAACTGAAGAAGCTTCTTGGGATGAGAAGCGACCCATCTTCAAGGAAAAACAAACCAAGTCCAGTTGCCATTTGAAAAAAACACCTTTGGGACAACCATGACCGGGATGACTGAGAATCTCCATGGAGATTTATTTCCGATTTTGACCAATTTCTATATTGGCTGGAAATTCTGGGGAACATACTGCTAATTTAGCTAAAAATGATCCGATCAAAAAGTTGGAATAGACTCAATTAGGTTAAACTTTTGTTCAAGCTGGGATTGAATCCTCAGGCTACTGCATGTGTTTTAACCCTAAGTGAGGTTTCTTCAAGTACCTATCATGAAAAGCTGATGGTATCGGCCTTACACTGGTGAGTGCTTCAAACATTTTTTCCTCACCACTGTTTGATCGACTTTAGCTGTGAGGGATTCACAGCAGCACAGAATAAAGTTGTAACAATGCCTGTGAAAGGCACATCCTTTGTACATTTCCTACCTGGCCAAATGATGGGCAATCGTGCTGAGTTTTCTGCTGAGAAGCCAATGAATCATTAGGGCCACAGGAGAGGCTTTTAATAGCTTTTGATTAATCTGTAATCTTACTACTGCTGCAATATCTCTGATAATGGAATTTTCAATTAGATTGTTATTTGAAACACAATTCATTTCACCTTTCCTTTTTGTTAAAAAAAATAAGTGCTCTGTGCACAGTAATTTTGTCATTAGGCAGCACTTGGTTCAGAGATAGCTGAAGCTTTTGTATTAACATCTCATTTCAGAAATGGTGAAAGACAACTTTCCCCTTGTTTGGCCAATTATGCTTGGCCAGGCATAGAGAACTATCCCTGCTCTCAATAGTTAGCTTTGTTGGATACACATGTTTGCCATTCCTCTCTTAAGACCCCAGTAGTAGAAAATCAACGGCAAGCACATAAAGCATTATTAGCTATTTACGTATTCCATTAGGCTAAAGCAAGGCTGCCTAACTCAAGACCAAACCAATCTTTGGCCTGCACTCCAAATTGCACTGGGTCCACTTTAAAAAGAGCGGATTCGTTTATCTCTGTCCACATTGGTTGCAACTCTGGCAGGTTGTACTTTCTGCAACCTTGTCCTAGGACATGAAAAGTGAGCAGGATGAAGAGAAGGTCAGGAAAATACTAGATTGTGCAGAAATGGATAGATTGACATTAAAAAAATTAAATAGAAAGAAGATGTAGAATACTATCAAACATGGAATCTATTTTACCAATGGTTGGAAAGAAAGGGATGAAGATTAAGAATGTAAATTTGTATTGTTAAGCAAATTAAATACCCAGGCAACCAGAAGAGGTATTTAGCCGGTTCGGACCAGTACAGGTGAACCGGTAGTGGAAATTTTGAGTAGTTCAGAGAACTGGAAAATACCACCTCTGGTTGGCCTCACCCTCACGCCCCCATCCTTCCCTGTTCTATATTCCCTTGTTTTTTAGCTTAGCTGATTTGGACGGCACTGCCAGGACCTAACAAGGAAGAAGAGTCAGCAGCCAGTGCCAGGTTTCAGCCTTAACATAGAAGACTTTGAGTTCTTTCTACGAGTTCTCAAGAATGCTGGAGTTTGATCAGTGGTGGGTTGCAGGAGTGTACGGGTGTACCAGTGCCTGCCCGGAGCACTGCACGTTCCGGTACAGTGCTCCAGAGGGCCCACCCGCCCGCCCGCCCGTCATCCTTACCTGTCTTTAAACTCTTTGGCGCTTCTG